GGAGCGCGACGCCGCGGCGCGCAGCGTCAATTTTCGCGTCGCCGAGCGCCCAAAGCCCGACGCGCCGGCGCCGGCGACGGCGCGCACCGCGGCGCCCATCGAGGCGGCGCCGGCCACGAGCTCCGAGGACGAGGCGCTCACCGCGAGCTCGCTCGGCGAATTGGCGGCGTTCGTCGGCCGCGCTGCCGAGTACGAGTCGACGCTCCCGGAGGACGTCGCGGCCTACTACCTGCGCGAGGGCGGCGGCGCCGGCGACGCGACGTTGGTCAAGGTCGTCGCGCTGGCCGCGGACCACTTCCTCGCGAACGTCGTCGCGGACGCGGCCAAGATGCAGGAGCTGCGGACCGGCGGCGCGGGCCCGCCGGCGCCGGCGCCGCCGCCGGGCGACGACGCGCCGCCGCCGCCGGCGAGGTGCCTGCGGACCAAGGACGTCATGCTCGCGCTCCAGCGCCGCGGCGTCACGACGCTCCACGGCGAGGGCGGCGACGGCGACGTCGCGCCCGCGGACGCGCCCAAGGAGCCGGCCGAGAAGGCGCCGCCGCCGCGGGGCAAGGCGAAGAAGCGCGCGCGGGGGGAGTAGTCGTAAGGCGGTGGGTCCTGGCCTGTTGCGTTTCGGCCCGGGGGTCGGTGTGCTGCGATCAGGCCCTGGCCGCCGGCGAGGGGTCCCGGCCACTCGCGTCGCGCGCGTCGCCGAAGAGCCGCATCGGCCGCCGCGCTGAGTTCGGGTCAGGAAAACGCTTGACGAGGTGGTTCATGTGTTCGAATCCCTGATTCTGCAAGCGTCTGCCGCTCGAACATGCAGATGAGCAAGAACGTTCCCGCGTCCGTGTTCCCTAACACCCACGCACCGATTCGCAGGCAGCAGCTCGTCACGCTGGGAATCCATAACTCCGCTGACGAGCAGCTCCAAGAGCCGCGTTTCACTGAAGCCGTCTACAAGGTGGTCAAACGAAGCTGACTCGCTTCCGCGCGGAGGAAAAGACGAACTCGTCGCAACACGATCCATTAATGCTCGAAGTGAAAACCATCCTACAGCACTCTCGGGGCACGCAGCACTCTCGGGCTCCGAGGACGTCCTTACCCAACACATCTCGTCGATGCGCACCGCCGCGATGATAAAGGGCTGCGTCTGATGATGCGCCCTGCATTTTAACCCCCGGCCTCCAAATCTCGGTTCCCGGAGAGTTCCCAATTGGCCTCGAACGGCTTTTTGCAGCCATCCCAGCTCCAGACGCCTCAGATCTGATGGCAGCCCAAATCGAACCACACCCACCACAGCCACCGCCACCACAGCCACCACCGCATCCGCCATGAAGCTCGTCGCGTCCCTCCTCCTCGCCGCCGCCGCCGCGCAGCCCTCGGGCAGCGCGCGCGGGCCGCGCAAGGACCTGAACGGCACCTGGCCGCGCAAGGACCTGAACGGCACCTGGCCGCGCAAGGACTGGAACGGCACGGTCAACGCGTCCTGCTTCTCCATCTTCGAGGAGCTCAAGGAGCGCCGCCCCGCGCCCGGCGGCCCGAAGGGCAAGCCCGAGGGCAAGCCCGACGGCAAGGCCGAGGGCAAGCCCGCGCGCGGCGACAAGCCCGAGAAGCCCGAGGGCGGCGGCAAGGGCAAGGGCAAGGCCGCGGAGCGGGACGCGCCGGCCGCCGCCCCGACCTTCGAGGCCGCCTTCCCGGCGACGAACGGCACCCTCGCGAAGGACGACGTCGAGCGGTGCTTCGCGGAGTTTGGCGAAAAGAAGCGCGAGAAGGAGGCCACGGTCCTCGGCGAGGAGAAGGCCCTCGAGTACGAGCTCTACGGCGTCGACGGCGACGCGTGCCTCGCCTACTTCGCCGAGCTCAAGGACGGCGCCGAGGCCGCGGACGGCGGCGACCCGGACCTCGCGGCCTGCTTCGAACTCTTCGACGACGCCGAGGAGGGCGGCCGGGCGGACCGCGCGCCGCCGGTGGACGAGCTCTTCGAGCCCCGCGAGGACGCGTCCGACGAGCCGGAGGAAGCCGCGGCGGCGTCCGCGGACGACGACGACGAGGAACAGGACCCGGCGATCGTCAAGAAGGCGCACGCGCACGCCGCCAAGGTGTCGTCCGCGAAGGCCTCGGTCCTCGCCGCCGCGGCTTTGGCCGTCCTCGCCGCCGCGGCGCTGTTTCGCCGGCTCTGCTGCCGCCGCCGCCGCGGCGCCGCGCCGCGGGACTCGGACGCGACGCCGCGGGCGAAGCCGACGCTCATCAACGTCGTCCAGGCGCAGCGCATCTCGCCGGACTGCAAGGAGAAGCTCGCCGACGGCGGCCGCGTCTACCCGGCGGCCTGCAAGGAGAAGGAGTGCGACCTCGAGGCGCCGCCCATCGCGACGTGCTCCGCCTCGCCCCTCTGAGCGCGCGCTGACCGCGCGTAACACTGCACATGACCGTTATTCTCGAGACGACGCGCGCTGAACGTTGAAGTGCCGAGTGGAAACAGCGACGCGCGGAGCTCCTCGCGCTTCGACCGCTTCATGTGGCTCGGCTCGCCAAGGCACCCCACGAACCCCCCTGGATAAGCGCACGTGAAGTGTCGAGGTCGACCTTGACTAGTGCCGCCAGGCGATGGCCGCGTGACGCCGAAACAGGACGATGGGCAAGCGCCGGCGCTTCGAATACGAGGACGACGAGGCCAAGGACGACACGCTCTGGCTCGAGAAGTCGGACAAGGAGGCGGCGCTGTTCAACCCCGTCGCCGACGCTACGAGTCCGCTGACGAAGCTCCACGACGAGATCTTGGCCTTTTGCGCGCTCGTGGCGCCGTCGGCGGGCGAGACGCGGCGGCGCGACGCCGCCGTCGCGAACATCGAGGCCGCCGTCGCCGGCGTCTGGCCCAAGGCGACGGTGCACGTCTTCGGGAGCTCGCTGACGGGCCTGAGTCTACCCTCTTCCGACGTCGACGTCGTCGTCTTCGGCGCGTCCGGGCCCCGGCGGCTCCGGGCGCTGGCGGCGGAGCTGACGAAGCGCGACGCGGCGACGAACATGGAGGTCGTCGAGTCGGCGCGCATCCCCATCGTCAAGTACGCGGACCGGGCCACGGGCATCCCCGTCGACGTTAGTTTCGACGTCGAGTCGGGCCTGCGCACGGGCCGGCTCGTCCGGGGCCTCATGGACCGCATGCCGCCCCTGCGGCCCTTAGTCATCGTGCTCAAGTTCTTCCTCGCCCAGCGGGGCCTCAACGAGACGTTCACGGGCGGCGTGGGCTCGTTCATGATGCAGATGATGGTCGTGTCGTTCCTCCAGATGCGGCACCGCACGGACTGCGCGACGAATTTGGCGTCCGCGCCGAACCTCGGCGCCCTGCTCCTCGAGTTCTTCGAGCTCTACGGCAAAGACTTCAACTACGGCGCGACGG